CTCAGGCTGGAATTGGACGGTATTAAGATTCGAGGTGTAGATTGTCCTAAACCTGTGACCAAATGGAGCCACTTTGGTATGCCAGCCAGCTGGTGAGTTGAACTTCTTGTATTCAATTAGGTCTTGACTGATAAGGTATACAGTTTGGATGTCATTAAACGCCTCAATTACACTGCTCCAACGGCTATCCAGTCACAAGCCATTCCTGCAATCATGTCTGGCCGAGATGTCATAGGTGTCGCGAAAACTGGTTCGGGCAAGACGATCGCTTTCCTACTTCCTATGTTCCGCCACATTAAGGATCAAAGACCATTAGAGCAAATGGAAGGACCAATGGCCATTGTCATGACTCCTACTCGGGAATTAGCTGTTCAGATTCACCGTGAGTGCAAGCCATTCTTGCGAGTTTTGAACTTAAGGGTATGTGGCAGTGTTATATCTCCTCTTGACAAGCTAGACATTCTTTTTTAGGCTGTCTGTGCATATGGAGGCTCTCCCATTAAAGACCAGATCGCGGAAATGAAGAAAGGGGCAGAGATCATTGTTTGTACTCCGGGGCGGATAATTGATCTTCTAACAGCCAATTCAGGCCGCGTTACGAACTTGAAGCGTGTCACATATGTTGTCCTTGACGAGGCAGATCGTATGTTTGATATGGGTTTCGAGCCTCAGGTTATGAAGATCATCAATAATATCCGGCCCGATAGGCAGACAGTCCTTTTCTCTGCGACGTTTCCAAAGCAAATGGATTCTTTGGCGCGAAAGATATTGAAGAAACCATTAGAAATCACAGTCGGTGGTCGTTCTGTTGTCGCGCCGGAAATCGAACAAATTTGCGAAGTCCGTGAAGAAGACAGCAAGTTCAACCGTCTGCTTGAAATTCTTGGCCAAATGTATAATGAAGATCCTGAAGCTCGGACTCTCATCTTCGTTGAAAGGCAGGAAGCTGCTGATAATCTGCTACGAGATCTAATGCGAAAAGGGTATCTGTGTATGTCCTTACATGGTGGAAAGGATCAAGTGGACCGCGATCAGACTATCGCCGACTTCAAATCTGGTGTTGTTCCCATTGTTATTGCAACTAGTGTTGCTGCAAGAGGATTGGATGTGAAACAGTTGAAGTTGGTAATTAACTATGATGCGCCTAATCACATGGAGGATTATGTTCATCGTGCTGGTCGGACGGGTAGAGCGGGCAACAAGGGTACTTGCGTTACATTTATTACCCCAGAGCAGGATCGTTATTCCGTGGATATTTATCGTGCTCTCAAGGCTAGTAGCGCAACAATACCGCCTGATCTAGAACAGTTAGCAAATGGCAAGTATATTCTCATCTTGCGAATGACATACGCTTATAACCTTTCCTCTAGGCTTCTTGGAGAAAGTCAAAGCAGGCAAGGCACAAGCCGCAAGTTCAGGTTTCGGAGGCAAAGGCCTCGACAGGCTGGACAAAGAACGTGATGCTAAAGAAAAGGCCGAACGCAAAGCGTATGGTGAGGGTGGCGATGAGAAGGAGGAAAAGATTGAGGAAACGCCCGCCACCACGACCGCCGCTGCTGTCACAGATGATATGACATTTGGTAACTTCAAGGTGGAGATTAAGCGTGGTCCTGCCCCTGGAACAGCGGTAGCCAGTGCGCAATCGCGTATGGCATCCAACTTGCGTGCAGCTGAAGAAGCTGCTGCTAGAGCAGGTAAAGACACAGCAGCCTATAGGCAGGCCCAGAGTGTTATTGCCAAACTCAATGCTCAAGTGCGGGCTTCGAAGATCCAGTCGCATGTTGAGGGTGCGAAGAAGGACCCGGATGCCACAGACTTCCATGCCATCATACCTATCAACGATTATCCTCAAAAAGCAAGATGGCGTGTTACTAACAAGGAAACTATGGTCCAGGTGCGATCAATTCACTTTAGCTGCGTGGATAACGAATAACGAATTGATATAATTATTTTCAGCTCATCGATATGACGGGTGCCTCGGTTACCAACAAAGGTGTGCCTATTTACGATCTATATTATGTTTATTATTATCTTACACATCTCAGGTATCTACTACGAATCTGGAAAGGAGCCGCCTCCAGAAGGACCACCCAAACTGCATTTGCTTATTGAATCGAACGAAGAGTGGAGGGTGAGTACCAAATTTATAGCAATATCTGGAAATAAGCTTACGTTCAACATCCAGGTCGAACAAGCTGTCCGGGAGATCAAGCGACTACTTATTGAGGCCTCTGCCGCTGCTCTACAGGCTGAATCTCGTGCTCCCGGTGCCACGGCTGGAAGATATAGTGTTATTTAGCTGGAATGGGATCTTGACGTTCTTGTTATTTCTTCGAACCTTTTGTGTGCCAATATATCTAGCTTATCATGTACTTTGTAACTTCGTTAAATACAGCAAATATAACATAATTTTGTTGTAGTTAGAGACTCAGAGTAAACTGGCCTTTGAGCGTGACAGTCACGTCACATCGTTCTCACGAAACGCGTCGCGTTTACGGTTAAAACCACCATGTCTGGTCAACAGCCTCAGCAGAATTCTCTCTTCGGTGGTGGTGGAAGCAGTAGTTTTGGTGGTGGAACAATAGGTTCATCAAATAAGGCACCTTCGATATTCGGCGCTGCAAACGCATCCACTACACCTGCAAAGCCTCTCTTCGGCGGTTCAAGCGGTTTTGGTCTTGGTCAACCTCAAAATACCGGTCAACCTGCCAATACGGGAGGAGGCATTTTTGGCTCCTCTTCGAATAATGCTTTAGGGTCTAATGCCGGTACCACTGGTGGAGGCATCTTCGGGTCGACAGCTGCAAATCCTGCTACTGGAGCCTCAACCGCCGCAAAGCCAAATCCTTTGTTCGGCGGTTCGACGGGCATGCCCAATGGTTCCACAAATACGTCTACGCCGTCAATCTTTGGCAATACAGCTGCGAAACCTGCCGGATCGTTGTTTGGATCAGCCCAGCCAAGTGGTCAGACAGGTAGCACTCCTGCTGCTGCTGGTGGCGGAATATTCGGGTCGACACAGCAAAGTAGTCAAACGGGGACGGCACCTGCTTCAGGCGGTATCTTTGGAACGCAGCAAGCAAGCGGTCAAACAGGGACGGCTCCTGCTGCAGGCGGTGGAATATTCGGCTCAGCACCAGCAGCGAGGCAAACTGGTGGAGCACCAGCAACGAGTGGTGGACTATTTGGAACTAAACCACCTGCACCTTCTGGACCATGGGGATCCTCGACTTCCACCACAGGCAATACGGCGGGAACCTCCACTCCAGCCGCGTCTGCAACGCCGTCGCTTTTTGGTGGAGGTACCACAAATACTACTCAATCTTCTGCTAACAGTCAGTATTTTTCTTAGGCATTCGTCACGCTGTAAGCTCATGATTGTCAGATACGGCAACTCCCGCTACGCCAGCTCTGCCGTCGCTCTTTGGAGCCAAGAAACCTGACACAACGCCAGCTGCCGGTATTTCGACAGCTGCGCCCTCTCCATTCGGTGGTTTGGGTGCCTTTGGAGCTCCAAAAGATGCGTCTAAAGATGCAGGTGAGGGTACAACTTTGCTCTACGGAATGGACTGTAACCGAGCTTTATGAAGGGGCCAATAAGGATCAACCTGGAGATGCAAATAAAGATTCGAAACCTACAGGTACTACATTCTTGATTTTTGAGTTGCAGAGTCTGTTAACATGTATCGGAAGTGCCCTTGTTTGGTGCAAAACCTGCACCTGCAGCTGGTACAGACTGTTTCATTAGGATATTTGTTGTTAGATATTAATCAATCCTCTAGATACATCAGCATCTACAACGGCAGCTCCTTCCACTGGAGCCGCAGCGCCGGCTGCAAGCGCAACGGCTGCCCCAAAAGTTTCAGTTCCTGCGCCATCGACCTTGCGAGGCAAGAGTGTAGAGGACATTGTCAATAGATGGACATCCGAATTGGAATCTCATACTCGTGAATTCTCCAAATTTGCGAGTGAGGTCGCTGTTTGGGATAGAACATTGATTGAGAATGGTAGCTATGTAAGTTATAATGTGTTTTTGGCCACAAATCAGTCTGACATGGTATCAGATTTCGGCGTTGTATGCCACAGTAATTTCTGCAGAATCGACGCAGCAGTCGCTGGATCAGACGCTGGATCATGTGGAGCAACAGCAACGCCAACTGACAGCAACATTGGATCAATACGAGAAGGCTGCAAATGATATACTTCACGGACCTGGTGGTATTATGACTTCTACAGAAGGCCTTGGTCTCGCTGATTCTGAAAGAGATAAAAGGTGAGTTGAGTTATTTGATCTATTTACACGTCTAACGTGGGATATAAGCTATGCAATGGCAGCCAACCTCTATACTCAACTTGATGATCTCTCACGCTCACTCACACAAATGGTGGACACAGTCAATGGTCTCAACCTGTCTCCACGCCCTATCGGCACGTCTTCCGACCAAGATGGAGCTCAAGAAGATCCCATTGCCACCATTTCTGGAATCTTGAATGCCCACTTGTCCAGCCTACAATGGATTGATACTTCACTCAAAGACATGGATGGCAAAGTGAGGGATGCAGAGAGGAAGATCAGGGATGCAGGAGCTAGGCGGGGTAGCCATGGCGAAGGTGCACCCAAAGGTCGTAGTTTCGGGCTAGGATCATCGTCGCGTCGATGAATTCTAAATGTTGTGTCATATTTTCTGTTCGCCGGCGGTTTGCAAGACATTGTGATTTTCTGTGCAGTGGAAATTGTGCTATAGTTGTAAAATGAGTACTTCTAATCTAATATATACTGCTCGAAACGTAACCACAAAGCTGAAAAATAGGCTTTCTAGTAATAAGCCGAAATTCAAACAGATCTATTCTTGTCCGTCGAGGGGCAGGAATGGAAATAGTTCGCTAATGTCTAAGCGCCTTGCCGGATCATCGGTGCATCAAAGCTTTGCACTCGGCCTTGGGTGGTTTGACGGCATGTTTTCCTCAGTTTCGAGGAGGGCAAAAGAGGGAAAGAACTATACACTTGGTGAGGATCGAACTCACAACATTCAGATCACAATTAAATTGCAGAAGTCTGACCCTCTACCATTGAGCCACAGGTGCTTATGGGGGTGTTCCTTCACCAGCACATGGCAGGGCAGGGCTCCCCTAGAATCTGTTCAAGTCTTATAACTTTGTAATCCTTCATAATTCCATCAAGCCTTAACACCTATTATTATCTGAAATGACATCCGTGGTATTTCAGCTGGTACTTAACAATGGTTTTCTGAGATCATAAGTATGGCTCTTTGGGACTGGTTCGATTGTTGTGCTTGCATCCCAGCCCTGTAGTGGATTTCGAATAGCATTAGAACGCGCGAAAGGCATTTCAGATTTCATCCACAGGGTTTCTCCGTAAATTACCTTTCACAAATTGCGGGAAAATACCAAGAGAAATGTCGAAGATTTGTTGTTGAAATAATTACTGCCACCTCAGGTCGTGCGCCGCCCCGCTTTGGCCCGGAATCTGAACTTAAATATACACAGCATATGTATGGGTTGGATGATACACACTAAAATACAAAAGGAAGAAAATACTGTTAGATCATAGCGACGATAACCGATAACCCTATTGAGAAAAGGAGTTGCGCATACACGATAAGTAGCGTGTCCGTATTAGGCGCCTGAAATGTCACGGTCACGGCGATGGGAAGCTTCAGCATCCATGTGGGGCCCATAATTCCATGGTTAGTGTCCTGGATGTCCTGAAATCTTCAGAATACGTGTATAACTATCAGTAAAACGTTATGGCGCGCAAAAAGATGGCAGCCTAGTAAGGGATTGTGCAGTTTGAAGACATATACGTGACGGGGTTCAAAGTCCGCAGCGTGAGGCCATTCCAAAGAGGTCGCGTTGGGCTCTTCCAGGGCTTCACGATGAAAGAATAAAGAGCATTTCCGTAGAGATATTGCCAGAATGTTCGTGTGGAATAAAATTTGCGGCAAAAATGTAGGGAATGGGGGAGTTCCCCGCCTTGGATTTATGGACGTCCTCCAGGCCTGGTCGCGGGGTTTGAATCGTTGCTGTTGTGAACTACATCCCTAACTTCATGCAGACGTCGGCGACTGCGTCGCCATCAAAGGGCTCTCCCCCTTCCACACCTAACGGTAAGGGAAAATCTGACCTGTTCTCAGTAGACATGCTCCCTTCCGTTCCCCCCGCCGGCGGCCACCCTCGACGGCCGATTTCCACTCTCACTTCTTCTCTTGATATCCCTGTTGAGGGAGTTCTCCCCATTGCCAAACCTGTCTTGGGAACTTCAACAACTCAAGACGAACTACCTTTCCCTCCCACTGCTGAAGACTCCGAGGCAAAACGAGCCCCTCGTAAATCCAAGAGTGACGCCCTAGCCGCCCTCCAGACGAGATCAGTCTCTCCTTTCCCCGGCTCCGGACGAGAAACATCTACTTCTATGGGCCTTGAAGATCCGAGGCCGTCAGCTTTCGGAAACCTCCCACTGCCCGCCGTATCTGCCCCCAAGGTACTCGACATGGACACCGTCAAACAACGCCGCATTCCATCTCTCCCTTCTTCCTCCACACCTCGTCAATTCGGATTGGAAGATTGTCCCACGTTTTATCCAACTGAAGAAGAATTTTCAGATCCTCTCAGCTATATCCGGTCTATTTCCGATCGTGCTCAGCAATATGGTATCTGTAAGATAGTACCTCCCGAGGATTGGAATATGCCGTTTGTCACAGATACAGAGGTATATATAATTCCTCTATCTTTGGTCTTATGGCTAATATGGCTGTCTAGACGTTCCGATTCAAAACACGTGTACAACGCCTGAACTCCATCGAGGCTGCCTCCCGTGCAAAGTTGAATTTCTTGGAACAATTGTATCGCTACCATAAGCAACAAGGCAATTCGCGAGTATCAATCCCTACGATCAATCATAAACCATTGGATTTATGGCTTCTACGAAAAGAGGTCCAGAATCTGGGCGGCTACGACGTTGTATGTGGTTATAATTTCTTCCCAATTTAAAAATCGCCATTCACAAAAATCGCCACAGGTCACGAAAAGTAAGAGATGGGGAGAACTTGGGCGTGCCCTCGGTTATTCTGGTATTCCAGGATTATCGGCACAATTAAAAAATGCGTACACCCGAATTATCTTGCCGTACGAGAATTTCTATAATCATGTCCGGAATTCTCCTGCTTTATCTCCCGGTACACCACGCCATAACGCTTCCCAGTCACAAAATCCACCTCCTAGTACGGGTCGTATGACTCGTATGGCATCTGCTGCATCTGCTCTTTCCGTACGAAGTAACGGATTTGCTCCTGGAAGTCCAACTTCTCGTAAATCTAGTCCCTTATCTGAACCACCGGAAGATGCCGAAGACGGCGGAAGCAAAGCTGAAGATAGTAAATGGGGTGTCCTTGATGAAGGTACGCGCGTCATTATTGCCTGTCTTTGTTTCGCATCATATTCTTTTAGATAATAAGAATGCCGTAGCAGGTAGCTCACTATTACAACCTATCGAAATCGTGGCTACACAAGAAACTAGGTTGCAAGTACCAATTGGCGAAGTATGCATACGTATCTACTTGCAAAATAACATATTAACTTGTCCTAGAATTGTGAAATATGTCAAGAGAAAAACGATGACTCCAATATGCTCCTTTGCGATGGATGCGATTGCGGTAAATAATTTGCTTTCGTTGAAGGAACTGCTCTCATGTAGCTCGTCAGGATTCCACATTTATTGCCTGGATCCTCCTCTGCAATCCATTCCTAAGGGTCAGTGGTATTGCCATACTTGCCTTTTTGGTACTGGTCAAGATTTTGGTTTTGATGAAGGCGAAGAACATAGTCTTGCCAGTTTCCAAGCAAGGGACCTAGAGTTCCGTAGACGCTGGTTCGCGACCCACCCTCCAGCTGGATCAAAGGAAGATATGGATGTTGATGATCCTTTCGTAACTAAGATTGGTGACATGAACATCTCAGAAAATAATGTCGAAGAGGAATTTTGGAGACTGGTTCAATCTCCTTTTGAAACTGTCGAAATCGAATACGGCGCTGACGTTCACTCAACTACACATGGCAGGTATGTATATTCTCTAAAAATCCTAATCTGGTACTCAAATGGTAATTTCTAGCGCGATGCCCACTTTGGAGAATCAACCCCTCGATCCTTACTCGCGGGATGGCTGGAACCTCAACAATATCCCTATTTTGTCCGACTCTCTGCTAAGGTATATCAAATCAGATATATCTGGCATGACAGTGCCATGGACATACGTTGGGATGGTTTTCTCTACATTTTGTTGGCATAATGAGGTTAATAATTTATTTATCTCGTGACGCTAATTGTTCTGACTTTTTATCCAGGACCATTATACATCAAGTATAAATTATAGTACGCATGGGATCATTAATTACACTTTTTTACACTCCTAATACTCATTCCTAGTGCATTGGGGAGAGACCAAGACCTGGTACGGCATTCCAGGTGATGACGCCGAGAAATTCGAAGCCGCCATAAAAAAGGAGGCACCCGATCTTTTCGAAGCGCAACCCGATCTTCTGTTCCAATTGGTGACGCTCATGAATCCTGCTCGAGTGCGAGAAGCAGGTGTTCGTGTCTATGCGTGTAACCAGAGGGCTGGAGAATTCGTTATCACATTCCCTAAAGCCTATCACGCTGGATTTAATCACGGGGTACGTTTCATTTAATTTCCTTGAACAGGCATATTGACTATTTCTAGTTTAATTTCAATGAAGCTGTGAACTTCGCGTTGCCGGAATGGCTCCCTTATGGACGTTCGTGTGTACAGCGGTACCAGGAACATCGCAAGTTGCCAGTATTCTCGCACGATGAGCTGCTCATCACTATTACGCAACAATCTACTTCTATAAAGACCGCTATGTGGTATGTTCTCCTTATCATCGAACTTCTACTTGCGGAATACTGATTTATGTACAGGCTTTATCCCAATTTACAAGAAATGCATCAGCGGGAGATGCAGCGACGGGCTATACTTCGGGAGCGCGTTCCCAACATGGAAGAGGTCCTTGTCAATCATGACCATTCAGAAGAGCAGTATCAATGCGCCATTTGCAAGGTCTTCTGTTATCTTTCCCAGGTGACCTGCAGCTGCACAACCAAGGTTGTCTGCTTGGACCATGCCGATAATCTGTGCAATGATCAACCTTCGGCTCGAGTTCTTCGCAAGCGCTTCTCGGACGAATATCTCACTGATATCCTACAGAAGGTCGCCGAGCGTGCTGCTGTTCCCATCGCTTGGAATAACAAACTGCATAAGCTTCTCGAAGAGTCTCCCAAACCTCAACTAAGATCACTTCGCGCTTTACTCGCTGAAGGAGAACGGATCAATTTTGGATTGGCCGAATTGCCTATGTTGCGGAAATGCGTCTTGAAGGGTAATGAATGGGTGGACTCGGCCAATGTTTTCTTAGCGCGTAAACCGAACAGGAAGCGTAGTCGCAAGCCCAAGCCTCGACCCTCAAATGCAACGGACAAAGGCGATCTTTACGAAGATCTAGGCGACCGTCCTGAACGCGGCCTTGATGATCTTTACACAGTTCTCGAGGAGGTCACTCATCTTGGTTTTGATACCCCGGAGATAACGGCGCTACGGACTATGGCAGGCCAAGCTGAGGATATCAAGGCTAAAGCTCGTACCCTGTTAGGACAACTTGAAGGAAAGGAGGCCGATCCTGACTTCCTACATAATTGCGATACTCTTTTGGCCCAAGGATCGTCCTTGAATATTTATCTTGAGGAAATGGCCAAGGTCGAACGCATCTCGATGCGCTCCAAGCTCTTGAAAGAACTCGATGAACTCGATGATACGACCATGACTCTTGAGGAAGTCCGTGCTCTTGTGAGCCGCGCTAGAGCCTGCGATTTACAGGAAGATAACCAATCAATGAAGTCCTTGGAGGACAAATTACGCGTTGGTGATGAATGGGAAAGCAAAGCAACGGCCATCCTTGCCCGACCTCAGAAGACGATTGAGGAGCTGGAAGAACTCGTTAATGTAGATTCTACTATTCCAGTGGATGCAACTACCCATGATCATCTTACCAAT